TGCAGTGTGATAGCAGCAGAGATAATATGCTCACATTATACAGAGGGGGATCACAGCTGCTTTGTCCGTGCTTTAGCTAAGAGACTTCAGGCCAATCATTCAGGAACAATGTTATAGTAAAGATACAAAAATACCATGCGTTGTCATGCATTTCGTTATTCAGCGTGTCCGCGGGGGCTTAACAAGTAGATAAATCAATTTAGTGAAAATTAAGGCTATTAAAAACTGCATTTTCCAAGGTATTACATTTTGTAGCTTGTTTTCAATAAGTATATAAATGGTCCAAAGAGGTTGTATTCTACAGTCTGCCTGAATGTAATCATGGCGTAGGTGTGTAGTGTGATTCTGTGTAGTTTATTTATGGCATCCCGTTGGATTTGACGTCATCTGAACAGGACATCGCGCGCTCACTGCTTGATAGCGCGAAGGTCCGTTTACGCCGGTTGTTAAACAACATCGTTATGGGGAAATGCAAGTCTGCGTCCAAATGGTTGGAAGATAAGGAGGAAGGACAATATATAGTGAATGTGAGGTAAAGTGTGTCGCCAATGTAACCAGTTAAAACTCCAAGTGGCGATGAGGTCTTAAAAGGTCTTAAAAGGTCTTAAAAGGTATTATGTGACTTCAGGATTCCTGCATATACCCTGTTATTACAACACCACATAAGGAAGTGCTAGGATCTTAAACTTGGTATTATTCATGAATCACAGATTAACTCTGCCCTTGTTTCTCTTTCTAGCTTCTCGGGAAAAAAAGGAATCAGGTGACGAATCCGAGGAGGAGGAGGAAGAGGAGGAGGAGGAGGAAGACCAAGACAGCGATGCTTCATCCTTCTTCCCAAATGAACAGAATGGAGACACGAGGTCCCGCAAACAGAGGACGTCAAGACAAGCTGCTAAGGCGAAGGGAAATGGTAAGGAGCATCCTCATCGCTTATCATTAGATTTCTTGTTGACACTTGCTTGGAAAGGTTTCTGTACTCAGTGGGATTCCTCTCCCTCTTTCCTCCTGCAGATACTCTGAGCCAAGTGAACGGACACCGCGTGAAGCCTCACAGCAACTCTGAGCCAGAGGAGGCTGCAGAGGAGAGCTCTGGAGACGAGGAGGAAGAGTTGGTGTCTCGGAAATCCTCTAGAAGCAAAGCAACCACTTCCGCCAAGACGAAGAAGAAGAAGATTGAAAGCGAGGAGGAGGAGGAAGAGGAGGAGGATGAGGAGGAGGAAGAAGAGGTAGAGCACACTGAACACAGGACCACAAGACACAAACTTCCCGTCAGCTCAGACGAAGAGTACAAAGACCACAGCTCTCAGAAACGCCCACACCAAAACGGAAGAAACGTGGAGGAAGCCATCCACAAGGACTCTAAGAAGAAGTATAAAGTTTCACCAGCCAAACAAAAACCTGCCTCAACCAACAAACCGGACGGTGCCGAGTCAGAGGAGCTCAGCGACCCTCCGAAGAGAGCCAGCCCGCGCAAGAAGAGCCTGAAGAGAGACGAAGAGAGCCATTGCTCCAGCGAGGAATCTGAATCCAATACTAAGAGGTCGACGAGGAACAAGACGAGGAACAAGACGAAGTCCAAGCGGCCTCGCAGCGAAACCTCGGCCTCGGAGAGCTCCCAGCAGGAATACAAACCCAAGAGGAAGTCGAGGAGGAAACGCTCCACCGGCTCCTCGGACGAAGAGTCGGACAACTCGGACAACGCGTCCAACAGACGGCGGAACCTCCGAGCACTACCGAAGAAGAGTTACATCAGCGACAACTCGGAGGAAGACTCTGCTTCAGGCGCAAACAGGGGAGTGGGTAAGGTAAAAAGACGGCGTCCAGGGAAGGCAAGCGAGAGTCGAACAGAAGCTCTCCCAACGGAGCCAGGAGTCAGACGTCTTCCAGCAAAAAAACGCATTTACACCTCAGACTCTGAAGATGCGGAGGAGGAGGACGGAGAAGGACAAGCCGGTGTCAAAGAGCGATAAAAACAGCAGGTCCTCGAAACGTTCCAAAAGGGAGTCCAAAGGAGAGGGGGACACCTCGTCACATTCTGAATCCAGCAAGGAGGAGGAGAGGAGGAGGAGGAAGGAAGAGGAGATGTTGGGAGCAGGAAGAAAAACGCCAGGCAGCCAAACTAAAAGACGGCACTCGCAGCTCCGATTCGTCTTCAGCCGCCGAAAACTCATCTGCCAGCTCAGGGTTTCGCAGCAGTCCAAAGAGGAGGAGTCACAGGCGGTCGGGCGTCGCTGAGAAGACGTCCGGCCGCTTGCTGAGGCCGCGCCGCCGTGCGTCCGCCTCAGAGGAGGGAGGAGAAGGAGGACAGCGACGAGGAGGAGGACAGCAACGAGGCGCGCCGCAAAACACAGCAAAAAGCACGCGTGAACACCCGCAACCGAGGGAAGCGGACGGTGAGCTATCACGACAGCGAATGAAGGACGGGAAGAGAACTGGAGACCTTTAAATAAAGACACGATACGGTAGTAGCACTGGAGTCCTGGAGAGAAAATGCTGTGAATCTGTTTCATTCAGGGATATTTATATTTTCTATGAAAAACATGTTTATAGATGTAATACGAATTCAAGCATTTGAACTGCTGGGTCTTTTTTTCTCACAGCGAAAACACCACCGCCCCATTCTGCTCGTTGCGACTGTCCGCGTGGGTGCTACTCTTATATACCTCTCGTTTAATCAAGCATATTGCTGGCTTGCACTAAGATACACTGTAATGAGGTATTTCATACACTAGTTTTGCATTAGAAACTCAGGGGTCAAATATGTTTACTGTAGTCTCAGACATGCGGTTGTTTTCTGCGCAACAGAATACAACTCCAGATGTCCAAGCACACTCACTGGGACGAAAAGAAAAACCATGCTCAGACGTTTGACTACAGCACTCCTTTGTAAATCCACACACTCAATGCTCGTCTGTATTTTGAGTTATGAGCCAAAATGAACTAAATATTCTTTCCCCCATTGCATTAGTTTTTTTTTCTCTAAGTTAGTTTGTGTTCTAGATAGATGTAAATATTTGATCGAGGAAGACGTCTGAGGTTCAGTAGACATTTTTATTTAATTATGTTTTTTAATTTCTTCTCTATCTTTTTTTACAATTAACTGCATTGTCTTGCCATATGTCACAAATTGGTACTTGTTTGCCAAGTACAAAAGTACTCTTTGCAAAATACTGTGATTTCTCATATTGGGAAGGCCTGTTATTGTTCTGTGTTACCTACTTTCAGTGTTAAATTCTTTTTTTCAGAGTTGACTTAAAAACATTTTGCCAGTCACATGGTTTAATTTTGTTAACGGGGAAGGTTTCTAAATAAAGTCGCTTTATGACATTTTGCTTAATGTTTTTCATACTACACCTTTATTAAATCACAGGAAAACTATTATTGCGATGTGGTTGTGGAGTGCAATGGATGAGTTATTCCTCACAATAATAAAGACATCATTTCAAGGTGTGTTATGTTTCTGACTTTGTTACATGTGTTGCAGGTACAAACTTAACAGACAGGAAGACATGAACTAACATGTGCTTTTTATCCTGGCTTGTAGGGAGGTAATACATTTGTTGACACATTATATACAAAGATATTTCTGCCCCCAAGGATTTTGTTCTTAGATTCAAATGAATAGTTTGGAGATATATCCCTACACTTAAGTATCGAGTTCGCAATATCAATCCATGTCTATTTATATAGCCCAATATCACAAATGTTACATTTGTCTCAGTGGACTTCACAGTTTGTACAGAATATCAGTATGACAATACGACACCCTCTGTCCTTAGACCCTCACATCGTACAAGGAAAAACTTCCGGAGAAACCCACAGTTTAAAGGGAGAAACCTCAGGGAGAGCATCAGAGGAGGGATCCCTCTCCCAGGACGGACAGACGTGCAATAGATGCCGTGTGTAAATTGAAAAGATATTGCATTTACAACATAGGTAGACCAAATGTTTGGAAATGCATGTGTCTATAATAAGAAGATGAATCCACGAGGATGTCAACAATCCTGTGGGAGCCATCGGGGAAGTAGTATGATGAGAGTCAGGCAGGACTGCAGAGACTGGTTCAGCCACGACTCGAAGTCCAGACCAGGACCTCAGCCACGACTCAGGATCCCGGCGTAGATAGACACCAAAAAGAAATGTGGGGCAATATGTACAACATTTACAATATTTTTGAGGGTTTCCTTCTGTCGTGTGTTATATAGGTTGTTGCTTGCAAATGGTCTGCAAAGGCTAAAATCCCGTTGTTCCCTTCAGATAGAGTTTCTCTCCCACACACTTTTGCTCTGTTGTAATCCGGTATGTGGTATAGTTAAATATCATTTTCAACAGGATATAAATACTCAGGTAAAGATGTGTTGTTGTTATTTACTTTATTTTCCAAGTGTCACTCAAAAACTTTCCAGGGTCAAGACAAATACTTTAAATTGTTTTAATATAGATACAGATTTTTCACGGCTTGCATCAAATATAAACAAAACTACAAACAAATGATTTAATTAACTAAAGAGTGAGGGTATTTTCAAGTAACAAATAAGTCAAATAATGAAAAGGGGTTTCAGGGCTTTTTATTTTTCATGTAATAACGTGATTTTGAAAAGTATTAAGATCTCACTTCTAGTAATTTTGGCTTACCCTTTAATTGTTTGCATTTTATGGAAAAACATCCAATTATTTATCGGAAATTCAAATTAAAAGGTCAACGTGATGTGCTTTAACGATTGTTAGCTTATTGGTCGAAATTAACAAGCTTTTAACGTGAAAGGGCTTCTTCTGACGACATCACGTAATGTTTTTCTTAAACTGGTCGCACTTTCGACTCTTTTGATTAGCAATGTTTTTAATTTCATTTGGTAACACTGGGATAATAAATAACTAGTGCAAAACATGTCACATTTATATGTTCATTTATATTTGTTAGGAAATACTTGTTTTATTAAATGTTTGTACATTTAAGTTTTTTCGCGAAAGTAACACCTGTCACCGTTATTTACATTTACGTTGATAGATAGCCAAGGAGCTAACATGTGAGTAGCTGCTTCTGTTGACTTGACAGCTACACCTCTTAACTCATGACAATAAAACAACTAGCATTTAATGAAGAGAAAGGTTTAGAATAAACGGACATTAATACATTTTTTGTTTTCCTTTTTAACATATCCTGCTTCGGCAAAATAAGCTAACGTTGAAGCTAAAGTTAGCATGTCCTCTGTCAGCCACTGTCAACACTACAGGCTTCAGTAAAGCTTCAGTAAAGCTTCAGAACATCAGAAGAGCTGCAGCTTCAGTACATCATGTCTTCCTGCACAAGGTTGCTTTACTTTGTGAAGCACAGAAGCTTGTGGGCTCATGTTCGGAGAAATGTCACAACATGGTCTCCTGTTGGAGCTGCTTTCAATGCCAAACCTCAAAGAAGACAAAATCTGTTGGAGAAAAACGTGGTAAGTATTTGGGTACCACTTTACAATAAGACTACCCTTATAAAGGATTCATAAAGGGTTTATAATTAGGTTATTAATTAGGTTGTAAACACTTTATTAATCATTAAGAACCATTTATAAACCAGTTCTAACATAGTTGTCACACATCAACACAGGCTCACTATTTGCAAGATGACTAAGCCTTATATTGGCTACTTAGTTTACTTCGTCTTCTTCATCAGCCAACATCCTTGGTATCTGTTGTTCACTGAGTTGACTCTCCCCCCATCCATCTTGATGTTTCTTGGCATCTCTTTATGACCATTTATTGACGAGTTACTAACATTTATAACTGCCAAAATGGAGCCTTATTGTAAAGTGTAAAACACATTCCCATTTATTAATGAGTTACTACCATTTCTAATAAGGCTTAGCAGCACAGATACATGTGGGCTCACTATTTTGGCAAGCAGCCGGTCACAGTTGCCCTGTTTATCTCATGTCTTATTATTATTAAGGATTTATAAAGTGTTCACAACCTAATTAATTCATTAATTACAAACTATTCGTAAACCCTTTATAAGGGTAGTCTTATTGTAAAGTGGTACCAGTATTTGTTTTAAATGTGTCACTAAAACGTGTTACAACACTGCTATGTTAAAGCACATAACCTGCATTTAAACGGGCTTAAATGTGTGTTAATAAGCCATATTGATTTTATAAAGGACCACATTCTATATATTTTATTTCTAAGAAGCCGTTTTATAGATTTACTAAATTGTTGTTTATAATTGGGGGTATATTGGGTGGGGAATGAGCCATTTTAAAGAATGTAATATTACATTTTAAACTGATTGTTTTGCATACTATCAAGTGAAAAATGTAGTTTGGATTAACAATGTCATGACATTCATGTAACTATTTATTATTGTTATTAGTGGCTGCCAGTTCACTTACTTTTATAATACTGCCACTTCTTTATTTGTGTACTGATTTTATTTCATTTCTTTATTAAACATGTTAGTCTAGTGATTTTGATGTTTCCCTTTGCTGCTGTAACACTGTAAATGTCTTGCTGCGGGACAGATAAAGGATTTCTGGTTCTGCTTTCAGGGTTTGTTTGGAGTGTCTGAGCTCAGCTGTCCTGCAGGCTTTCAGGCGGCCACAGAGACGGCTCTGAGGAACACACGGCGGCTGGTGGACAAAGTTATTTCTGGTCCTTCGGGGGTGGAGACAGTCGAGTCTTTTGATCAGCTCTCAGATGAGTTGTGTAAAGTGGCTGATCTGGTGAGTGCTCCTTCTCTCTGATGACTACTGAAACTGTGCTGCTCTCCACAACTCGTGTGCAGAGGGGGTGCAGTGATGGCCTTTTTTTGTAGGTTGACCCGGAAGTCAGCATCTCCCTGGCTCACTTCAAAAAAAGCGAATGGGATTTCTCCATTGGATTTTGTATTATTGCAGAAAATAATCTCAAACGTTTATGACACTTACACGTTTTATTCAGCAGGATTATCCAAAAATATACACCACTTTATGATCTTTGAAGTAATAAGCTAACGTTAAACTATAAAGGAACTACAGCACCCTAACATGACTTCCCGTCACCACCGCTAAGCTAATGTTGGGCATGATGATGTTTAGTCCTCTGATTTAGACACTTGTTAGCAAACGCCAATTTTTGTATTCACTAGTGGGGTATTTACTGACGTATTTATGTTGCATAAAAAAAAAGTAACATTTCTTCAGCTGGTGTTAACCACAGACCTTATGTCAGGCTAACAACCAAAAGCACATTCAGGAAACCATTGACTTCCAGACGAGGGAACAGGAAGTGCTAAAATGCTCACTCATATCTGGGTTTTAGGACTCATTCCTGGCCCGCTCTATGCCCCATGTTCCTTTCTCCACTCTGAGATCCTCAGATGCTTCCCTCCTCATCGTTCCAAGGTCCAAATGTGTACTTAAAGGAGATAGGAGAGCCTTTGGAGTCAGGGCTCCTGGACTTTGGAAATACCTGCCAGATAAGATCAGCGCTGAAACCATATCTCCTCTTTAAATTGTCTTTGAAAAACCTGCTTTGTAAATATTACTTAAGTTAATTGTAATCTCTGTTCATTTGTATCCTTTGAGTTTTAAAGGGGCCCTATTCTGCTTATTTTAAGGTTCATATTTGTATTTTATGATTCCTTTATACTATCACTATGCGTCATGTGGTTCTTGGGTTACCTGCAGACCAACTTGCTTTTCTCTTCTCTCACAGGCAGACTTTGTTAAAGTAGCTCATCCAGACCCAGCGTTTCGCGAGGCTGCAGAGAAGAGCTGCATAGAGATCGGCACGGTGGTGGAGAAGTAAGACGAACCTTTCAAAAAGCAATCATGATGCATTTGTACAAATAAATGGAAGTATAAAGTAGCATAAAATAGAAATACTCAAATATAGCACACATGTCATTTTGTAATTGTGTTTTTTTCAGATTGAACACTAATGTGGAGCTTTGTAATAGTCTTAAAAAATTGCTGGATAACCCAGACACCGTGTCTCAGCTGGATCCTGATTCCAGGTAATTCCACTGCCATTTTGTTTAAAACATGGATTAAATAACAGTGTTTCTCTTTCTTTATTATCACATCAATATGTAATGTTTATATCATATCTAATGATGTAAATAATGATTCATTTCTGTTTGTTGTTTCCAGACGAGTGGCAGAGTTGTTCATGTTCGATTTTGAAATCAGTGGGATTCATCTGGATGAGAAGCTGGTGAGATGGTTATAATAGGTGGTTGTTATATTTCCTAGGGGGAAAGGGAAGTAATAAAAGATGACATAACCAAAACCACTGTTTGTCCACAGTTACACCATACTAGACCATATAGCATTGGTGTAGTCATAGAAGGATATTTTCCATGGGACAGCGCATGTATTTTGATGTGGTAGCCAGCAGGTACATTTTGGTTGTTCATCTGGGAAAGAAACAGACAAGTTGTGAATAAAACATAAAGACAGCATGCTTGAATATGCCTCCACCCCCTGCTGTGTTTACTAACTTCTTTTCTCCACAGAGGAAGGAGGCGGTGGCTCTTCATGTGAAGCTTCTGGATCTAAACAACGAGTTCCTGGTCAATTCTCACCAGCCCAACAGGATCGCCAGGTCTGCGATTCCCGAACATCTACACCTGCACTTTGCCAGTGAAGGAAGCTTCATCCAAGTGGGGGGATTACACGCTGACTCCCCCGATGACTTGGTATGTGCCTGAAATGATTTGGGAACCTTTATACTTTTTGTTCAGCAGGTGGCGCCACTGCCATGTGTCAGATTGTAGGACTGGATGTAAGGGCAGGTTGAAGATGTGTAATATATACTCTGTCCTGACAACATATGATACGCCATGAGTTGTAAAATCCTGAATAAGCAGAGTAACTTACATGATCTGCATTTCTAATGACAAACGTCTGAATGTTGTGTCATGTTAAATGTTGCGGCTTCAGAATTGTGGGACAGCATTTTTCCTTTCCTTTCCTTAAGGATGGTCCAGTGTATCCTAAGCTAAAGAAGATTTCAAAGGAGGCATTGAAGCTCCTTTCCTATCATCTAGAGCAGTGTTTCTCAAACTTTTTCATATCAAGGACCACTTAACCAATAAAAAAACACTCGCGGACCACCTAACTCCACAAATATAAAAAAACACATCGTTTTTCTAGAACAGATTACAAATCGCCTGAAAATGGTACAAACAAGTGGCAACATGTGTGATGAAGGTGTTGCGCTGGGCAAACTTAACCTCGCTCCATTGCGGAGATATTCCCGCGAGAGTGCGGAAAACTGAAATGTATTTATTTATTTCAAATGTGAAATGTTACCAATATACTCACGGACCACTAGGGGGTGCTCACGGACCACCAGTGGTCCGCGGACCACACTTTGAGAAGCACTGATCTAGAGCACACGTGTCAAACTCAAGGCCCGCTTGGTGGATTTAATTTTGGCCCGCAGGATAATTTCTAATTACTATTAGATCTGGCCCGCCGGTATATTGCACACACACTAGGGCTGTGCGATTATGGCAAAAATCATAATCACGATTATTTGGGTCAATAATTTATATCACGATTATTTTGACGATTATTCATTGACCATTTATTGAACTTTAAAACAAATAATATTTTACCAATAAACAAGATCAACAAATATGTTGGAGCGCTCTTCCAAAACCATACTAAACATATATTATTAATATGATAAATAAAAATAAATTAGACCAAAATAAATGAAATCAAACATGATGCAGTGCACTGTCACAACCTACTGAAAACTCCTTAACATATAGCCAACATTTTGGTAAAACATATTCAACATATTCCACTCAGTTAAACGTTGAAGGCTGGCCCACCGTCATGGTCCAGAAGTAACAGGAAATAAATGTTGAACTACAATTTAAGACCAAATAAAAATGTTTAGGCCACCATGGCAAAGGCTGGTAGGGCTGCTCGTGTTATCTCTTAAAGATGCTTTGCAAGAAACACCAGCCTGTTTACATGGTCTGGTTTCAGAGATGAGCGCAGGCAGGTGACGATATTGCCACCTGTACTGAAGACCCTCAGCCACGCCCCGACACAGGGGTGACGCCGGCCAATCACAAAGCTTTGATGCGTTCAAGTGCATTATTCTGGCACAGGAAGATTATGTTACAGGACATTAACGATAAAACTGAATATTGTTGTTCTATTTTTAGACACATCTCGCGATCGACTGGTTGGGCACCCCTGGGCTAGACCATAGGTATGTTGTGGTAGCAAAGTAGTCAGCTGAAGCCACATCTCTCTCAACTTCCCCACGGCATTTGTCATATAGTGCAGGCAGCGCAGACCTGCTGAAATAATACCGAGACGGCATCGCGTAACGCTTGTCCAACGTGTTGACAAGTTGCTTAAAGCCCTGGTTGCTAACAGTGCTAACTGGGCACATATCTTTAGCGATGTGAAATGTAATGGCAAAGTACTTGCAAATAGTGGAAATAGTTTGACCCTTCTTTTTAACGAGTTTCTGCTCTTGTTCTGACATCTTCGCTCGCGCTGAACACTCACAACACATGTCACTCCCACGTGGCCGAGTGGGCTTTTAGGGAGGGGCGAAAGCGCACCCAGCAAAAATAATCGTATTTTGTCAATTATGCTGTTTTCATAATCGTCGCAAACCATAATCGTAATCGCGATTAAAATACGATTAATTGCACAGCCCTAAGTCACACACCTTCACTCCATCCTGAGGATTTCCTCCGCTCAGAGCCTGACCCCAAACATTGATGAACTTGCACCCAAGATGAGATGCCAAGTATCTGGCTTGAACTAGCATCACAGAGCAGCACACTGAGTTTAATGGATGTTTCCTTCTGCACTTGTTTTCTTGCAACAACAGGGCATGTTTGTTATTTTCTTTGAGGGGAATAGTTTTGTTGAAGCTGCTGTCGGCCTGTGGAAAAATGTAATCATATAAAATGACTCCGGAAAAGCTGCAGATAGAGCCATAAGAAATGAATGCAACTGATTATTTAATGTTTAATGTTGTTTTTAAAGGCAATAATTTAATCCGAATCCGAATCCCTTTATTAGTCCCACAGAGGGGAAATTTGCATCGTTACAGCAGGAAAGAGCCACAGACAGCTTAATGTTACATATGTTAAAAAAAGTACTAAGTTATGATATAATAAAAAAGATAAAAGTAAAAAAAAAATACAGCTTTGTTTGTTCCAGGTTTAAAATGTGCAATAAGTTCAATTAAATAAGTTTTGCAATAAACATTGAACCAGTCCGGCCCTCGACTAGTACCGATTTTTTAATGTTGGCCCACTGTGTACTTGAGTTTGACACCCCTGATCTAGAGAATTCAAACAGCTCTTATCATGGCTGACACTTAGAAACCTCTGAGTCATTTCACTTCGTTAGGAACCTTCTTGAGAGAAATTGAGAATTCGACCCCTTGTTCCTCACATGATGTGGAGCAGTATAATGTAAACGTGTGTTTTCTAGCACCACATAGTGGACACAGGAAGTGGTGCAAGATGTGCGTGGGATAACGAGGACCCATTCAGTTAAATATTCTGTAATATCATGGATTTTGTTCTGTCCTGGTTCCACTTGCAGGTTCGAGAAATCGCCTACAGGATTTACCTGTATCCTAACGCAGATCTGATGAAGTGTCTGGAGGAGCTGCTGAAGTGCAGATACAAAATGGCCAAACTGGTGGGCTACGAGTCGTACGCTCACCGAGCCCTGAAGGGAACCATGGCCAAAACACCAGGTTTGTACCTCTCTCTGCTTCAGCATTAATACAGTATCTTTCAGTCAGTGCCGTGACTGCAAATATGATTTCAGTATTGGCATGAAACCATTTTTAAAAGACACAGATTAATATAAGATACAGACATTATTTTTGCTCTTTTTGTGCTTTTAGTCTCCGATTATTTACAGGCTGTTTATTCCTTTTTGTTTCCCTTTGCAGAGACGGTGATGAGCTTCCTTCAGTTGTTAACAGACAAGCTGTCAGACAAGTACGGTCTCATTTTAATAAATCATTAAGAAATATTCAGATAAATTATTCAGTTTGATATTTTTTCTGAATAGTTGTGAACATTTTTCTCAAAATGTGTTATTTTTCGGGGCCAGTGATGGAAAATAACTTAAAAGCGTTTGTACAATTTTGAGGTAGTTGTACTTTTAAATCACTATATTTATTTGACAAGATGAGTTACTGTGAAGGTTCATATTTCTGTTAGAAAAATATAATGGATTCCTGGAAGTACAACATATTATTTAAGTTAGCTTCACCTGTGACAGCTGCAGAATTGTTATTTCTTTAACATAAATGCATCATTAAAGAGGCCATGTTGTGCTTTGGGGGGTTTTCCCTTTCCTGTAGTGTGTTCAATTGTGCTTGTAAATGGTCTGCAAAGGCTCGCTCCTATTGGCTAGCGCTCCAACACATTGAACGTGATAGGCTAAGGGGCGGGACATCTCAAAGCGTTTGACAAATCACAACAGAGCCGGCCAGCTAACCAATCAGAGCAGACTGGGCTCTGGTTTCAGACAGAGGGTGAAAAGAGGTGCTGCAGCACAGGCAGTATGAGAAAAAGAAAGAGCTTTTTGAACATTAAAGCATGGAGACATGTCACAGGAGAGGCGCTAGATACTAATATGAACCTAAAAATGACTCGACTGGGGCCCCTTAAATTAGAATCCAGTCGTAAATGTACACAAATTCAGTTAGTTTAATAAATATTATCAGTAAATCAGTTTTTTGTCACATTCCCTCCTCTGGTTTCTAACATCTGGAGTCGTTAAACAGACCAAAGATATGTGAGTCAGGTGCACCTGAGCCTCTAAATTACCCACAGGATAAATGAATGTCCAGGGTGTTTCCCCGCCTTCAGCCAAATGCATGCTGGGATATGCTCGCGCATAGGTGGGTACTGGAATGAAGCCTCGAGTCAATTAGCTCACGACTTGTTGTTGTTTTTTCCTTTAATCTCTCACAGGACAGCCAAAGACTTCACGATGATGAGTAACATGAAGAAGAAACTCAACCCACTTAATGCTGTGAGTCATATCTTCTTTCCTATGAGGATATTTTTAAGTTCTTTTGCTGGTTTTTAAAGTCTGTCTAAACTTAAAAGGCTGCAGGACAACAGGGGATACCTCACATAACTCATTTAATGGATTGTTTTATAGTAATAAAGACAAAATAAACACATAAGCAGCAGCCCAGGCATCATAACCATTTTTATACTCAATGTTTTTTGTTTTTTTTCATATTTACCTGCAAATATTACACATTTCATATTAAAGCGGCAACATACATTTGTTACATTTACTTTTATAGTCACTTTAATTAAATGTAGTCTATTTTATTGTGATTCTTTCATCACATGTTAAACATTTGTTGTTTTAGGAGCTCATGCCGTGGGATCATCCGTACCTCAGCGGTGTCCTGCGTGCTGAAAGGCGAGTCGTTTTCTATTCGAGTTTTTTTATTATCCTGCTGTCATTTGATAAAGTCAACATGATCTGTATCTCTTTTGGATGTTTGTAATTTCATATTCCAGCAGGGTGTGAGCTGTTGTCGGGTTTCAGCTCATCCTCAGGTGTTACAAAAGGTTTCACAGGGAGGAGAATGAGAGTCATCTCAGTGTCTCAAACTCCTTTATAATCCAGGACAAATGAATCTGCTGCTCCAGGGGGCTTTTACTCTTCAACAGTTTTTAAAGGTCTCCTATTATGCTATTTTTAGGCATATAATATGGTTCTAATATGGGAAATTATGTATTGAAGTCAATGGGGAGAGAAAGATTATCTTTCGATCCCGTTCCACGAATTACACACATGATGTTTGTCAATCTTAAAAAATCATTTCCATGTCAAAAAAGTCACAGTTTGTCTTAAAACTGTTGAAATATAAGACTATGAAAAATACGCAACTAGAAAGACTACAAATCCCAGAATCCCGGTCCCGCATGCTTGCTCTCACAGAACCGACTAACTCCTCTTGTGTGTATTTACAGCTCTCAACATGCCCAGACTTGGAGTGATTTTCACCTCTTTTAATACTTTTCGCCTCATTCTGAAAGAAAGAAGTGAAATGTGTCAATGTGACGGCCGTCTTGGTGTGTGGTGCGAGACGGGAGTTGTAGTTCATTGAGCGTTTCACACAAACAAAAGTGTTACTTCACAGTTTTACGACACATTTTTATTTTTTTGACTTGCAAAATCATCTTTTAAATTGATCATATGTGTAATTTGTGGCACAATTCAAACGGGATCGAAAGATAATCTTTCTCTCGCCATTGACTTCAATAGATAATTTTTTCCGAAATAAGGTCCCATGGAGGTCCCCCGGAAAGGGAGGGACTTCACCTCTCTATTACGTCCAAAACACGTCAGGCATGTTTTCTGATAGCAACGTTTCTGATAGGGCCGTGGGTGGGAAGCCAGCCCACATTTCCGATATTACGTCATATCGGACGCAAATCTGGATCAGCTCCGTTGTAGCCCCGTTTTTAGAGATTTGGGCACGGAGGAAAAGAGAGAGGGTTTTATTTTCTGACGCTGCGTGAGTTCCCCGACACACCGGGGACACATAGTTATGTATAAAAGACATCAAAACGTGCATTTTGCATGATAGGTCCCCTTTAAAACATGTTGCCGCCCTCACCAGTATCTACTCTTGTAATAGTTTCGAGATGTTTTGATTGTAGACACACTTTTTATTAGACAGACGCAGCAGAGAGATAACAGGAAATGAGGGAAGGGAGAGACGGAGATTAACAGATGTTTCTCTTTTCTTAATGAGCTGCACTTCTCCCTCCCAGTGCTCACTAGAGACAAGACCGGTCCAAACGTCCTGGAGGAGTTATATAAACAAATATTTATTGCAGACATGGATACCTCAAGAGAAAATAAATATCAATAACATATTATTACTGTGATGTTTTTTAATAACATTGTCATCCTAGTAATCCACAATCTTTGGAAATGTAACAGTAATCTAATTACATCTTTTATTATGAAACTGTAGGGGAATACTTAGTTGTATCCTGATTACCCATTACGGTAATCCTTTACTCCCCAAGCGTGGAAATGCAGTACAGATTGTGTGTGTGAGGTTAACGGAGCAGCAGTCTGTTTTTCATCACTGATAAAACACTACAAGCATTTTGGTTTGGTGGGTTATCTAAAGTGCTTCATAGCGTCCATATTTAGACCCCCTCCCTTTTGCCCTGAGCTCTGTCTGGTAGCTTTGTCTAACAGTTGATTTCACAATAATCAGGGGAGTTTTAGACATGTGTGTTTGTTGAGCAATTGGGGAAAAAGCAGTCACTAATCCGACCGTATACATTTGTTCCCCTTCATACAACAGTTAAAAACATGAATTAACTGTCTCTGGCATACATTACATTACATGTCACTTGTTAGACGCTTTTATCCAAAGCGACTTACATACTCAATACTGTGGGCAATCCCCACAGGAGCAACTTGGGGTGAAGTGTCTTGCCCAGGGACACAACGACATGCTGACTGCAGTGGGGTTTGAACCTGCTGTGACCCCCTGATCCGAACACCAACGCACAACCCACTGCACCACACACCTCCCCTTTACAAGGCTTTCAACCGATTCATAAAAGTTGTGATCCTTAACGCTTCAAATAGATAAGGCCATAACAGCTGATCAAAGGCCTTTGCAGCGCCTCACCTTTCCCACCGGAAGAGAAATATCTATAATGTTCGTTTGGATTTGTGATTCTGATTGTGTTTTGGTAAACGGCAGGTTCAACATCGAGCCCAGTCTGTACAGCCCGTACTTCTCTCTGGGCGCCTGCATGGAGGGTCTGAACCATCTCTTCTCTCAGCTGTACGGCGTGTCCCTCATGTCCGAACAGCCGAGCGCCGGAGAGGTCTGGAACGAGGACGTTCGCAAACTGGTCTGTGCTTAATAATCATATCAAGATATCTAGGATAAAATATGTGTCCTCTTAAATTATATGTATAGTTTACAAATGCTGCTTTAGTTTAACACATGAAGTACAAGCAAACAGTATTTTTGTCAGCCTGTATATTGTAACACTGTAAAACTGCTAGTAATCCTTATTCTTTTTTATTTACCTGTAATGTGTAAGGGAATTCTATTTCATGTTTCCTGCTTAAGTAATCCCGTTGCATGTAATCCATTACTCCCAATTGTGTGTGTGTGTGTGTGGTGTGTGTGTGTGTGTGTGTGTGTGTGTGTGTGTGTGTGTGTGTGGTGTGGTGGTGTGTGTGTGTGTGTGTGTGTGTGTGTGTGTGTGTGTGTGTGTGTGTGTGTGTGTGTGTGTGTGTGTGTGTGTGTGTGTGTGTGTGTGTGTGTGTGTGTGTGTGTGTGTGTGTGTGTGTGTGTGTGTGTGTGTGTGTGTGTACAGGCTGTGGTTCATGAGACGGAGGGATTATTTGGATACATCTACTGTGACTTCTTCCAGCGGCAGAATAAACCTCATCAGGTGTGAAAACGTTATCATGTTTAAATCTTCTTGTTAGTTTCTCCTTTGAAATACGGGCTCATAAAATGTAGAGTAGAATAAATACTCAAAACTGTAATAATGTATTTGTTTATTCCACACATGGCAGTTATTTTAAAACAAAACATGTACACTTATACTGGTTGTTTTTGTTATCGCGCATGGTGGAAAGGAGCATGGAGAAGACAATCTTATTCGACCTTCCCCTTCTTGCAAAACAATAATAAAATAAATAAAAATGAAATAACCATTAAAAAGTAAAATAAAAGCAATATTCTTTCAGTCACAGTTGCTTACAAATACTGAAACATAAAACCAGAACACAATCAAAAGTCAACTTCATACTGTCTAATTACAAATATAATCTTATAATATATACATATGTTGATTAAAAACAAAGTAAAACATAAAGACAGAATCAGAATACCTTGATTCGTCCCACATAGGGGACATTTACGTTGTTACAGCAAAAGGGAAGATCGAGACTAGACTATTAGATAAAGGGCATGGAGGAGTCTTCCACGGCCCCATCTCACCTTCATCCTCCTCCCCCTCCTCCTCCTCTCTCTGCAGGACTGTCACTTCACTATCCGAGGGGGCCGCTGGCTCCAGGAGATGGGTAAGTACCAGCTGCCGGTGGTGGTTCTGATGCTGAGTCTGCCGCATCCCACCCAGAGGGCCCCCACCCTGCTGACCCCCGGCATGATGGAGAACCTCTTCCACGAGATGGGCCACGCCATGCACTCCATGCTGGGACGCACCCGCTACCAGCATGTGACAGGTGGGGAGGGGTCACTCATAGTTTATATTAAGAGAGATAAGAGAACTTTATTGATCCCAATTAGGGAAATGTTTGTGTTGCAGCAGCAGAAACAGACATGGCATTGTACAATAACAATTAAAAGAAATAAACAAGAAAGTAGAAAATATACATGTTGAATTTACAAATTAACAATAACAAGATATAAAGCAAGGTATTGTATATACATAAGTATGTGACAGATGGAATATTAAAGTGAATATATACATAAAATGTACAGTGTGATTGTATTCCAAGAGAAACTATGGAGCTACACAAGCAACTTCAACAAACTCCTACTGTATACATTTGTACTAACATATTCATATTCATCCATTTAGTGTCTACTACTTTTATTTTTTATATATATATATGATTATATAAGTGGGTGTACACGTGGGAATGTATGTATATATACATGTATTTATATATTTGTATTTGGCATGTTGGGAAACAGAAATGTGTTCTTTCTGTCTATTATTAGTAAATTAAGACATTATTTTTGATTATAAAGTATTTTGTATTATTCACACGTTTCATTCATTGATGGATATACTGTGTGTGTTCTGATATCTGAGCCCTGACGTCTCTCCTCTAGGAACCAGATGTGCGACTGATTTTGCTGAAGTCCCGTCCATCCTCATGGAGTACTTCGCCTCCGACTACAGAGTCGTCAGCCAGTTTGCACGACACTATGAAACTGGACAGGTAACCATAACCCCATAAACGAATGAGTTAGGATTTTACCACCTTCCTGTCCCCTGGTCTGGAGGTCAAGGCAAGGCAAGGCAAGTTTATTTATATAGCACTTTTCAACACAAGGCAATTCAAAGTGCTTTACAAAAAATGAAAGAGATTAAGAAAATGGCATTTAAAATCAGTCATCAAAAAGAAAAGCTAATAAAATAAACATTAAAAGAAAAAATACATGGATAAAAGTTACAGTGCAGTTTAAGATATGAATAGTTCAATTAAAAGCAGCGACAAAAAGAAAAGTCTTCAGCCTGGATTTAAAAGTAGTCAGAGTTGTAGCGGACCTGCAGGTTTCTGGGAGTTTGTTCCAGATATTTGGAGCATAATAACTGAACGCTGCTTCTCCATGTTTAGTTCTGACTCTGGGGACAGAAAGCTGACCAGTCCCTGAAGACCTGAGAGATCTGGATGGTTCATAATTTAGCAGGAGGTCAGAAATGTATTTTGGGCCTAAACCATTCAGTGCTTTATAAACCAGCAGCAGTATTTTGAAATCTATTCTTTGACACACAGGAAGCCAGTGTAAAGACTTCAGAACTGGAGTGATGTGATCCACTTTCTTAGTGTTAGTGAGGACTCGAGCAGCAGCATTCTGAATTAGCTGCAGCTTCCTAATAGATTTTTTAGTGAGACCTGTGAAGACACCATTGCAGTAGTCGAGTCTACTGAAGATATATTACAAGGTTTTTTTTAACGTGTTACTGGTTGTCGGACACAAAATCAGTATTGTTACCCTGAAATAAGTCAGTAAATTTAAAAACAGTGGTTGCTAACAAGTGTCTAAATGAGACGACTAAACGTCATCACGCCCAACATTAGCCGCTTTTAGCTTAGCGGATATCCTGCTGAACAAAACGTGTAAGTATCATAAACGATTGTTTGCCACAGAGATTTGATTCTGCTATAAACCCAATGAAAGAAATCCCATTGAGCCAGCGAGATGCTTCCTTAAAGAACAGCCTAAGCCAATACGTCATCACTGCACCACTCTATAAAGTTTAAAGGTTTTTAGAGTGATATCGTCCAATACATTATAATTATAATGATATCAACAGCTTCATTTGCCAGCTGATTTCTATTCCATATTTTATTCCTCCATTTCATTCCATTGCAATGTAAATACTTTTATATTTTACTATATATTTTTAATTATTTTTAATATATTTCCTGTTCTTTACCTGTGTTTTTAATTCTTGTTTTTATGCACCACGACACCAAGTCAAATTCCTCGTACGTGTAAACCTACCTGGTAATAAACCTGTTTCTGATTCTGATTTGTCGTTTTCTAAAAAGGCAGACCTGTACGAGAGGAGAATGATGTCTTACTGTGTTTTCTATTCTGTCTTTCAGCCTCTGCCTAAGAGTATGGTGGCTCGTCTGTGTGAGTCTAAGAAGGTGTGCGGCGCTGCAGACACTCAGCTCCAGGTACAATCACACAACCTCACACACCTTCACCTTCACAGATATCTAAAAGTATGTTTCACTTTTCAGAAAGAGTTTTGAACAATGTTTGTAGCTTAGGAATAGGGTATTTTATTCTGCTGTACAATACTTAATTACACATTCAGTTTTTTCTCATTCAATTCTCCATTAACTTTGAACTGCGTCTTGTTTGGCTTTTGAAACCTATCTTTTTCAGATATTTTTACCTAACATTTTTAAACATCATATTAAATGTTTTGTATGATTTTAACTGTTAATTATTATAAATATTATCATTATCAGCACTACTATTGTTTTTGTTTTTTTATATATAGGTTTTTTAATTATTTATATTTATTTATTTCGACTTTTAAGCTGGTTATTTTGACAGGAATAACACTTCTTCAAAATTGGTAAATATAGGAAGTTCAATGTCTAGTTTTCCCCAATTTCTATGCAATTCTTTACCCCTAACTCTACCACTGCAGTTCACATTATTAATATATTTTTGATGTTGTTTTTTTCTCCCTGGACAGATTTTCTATGCCGTCCTGGACCAGATCTACCACAGCCAGCCTCAGAACCGCTCCACCACAGAAATCCTGCAGGAGATGCAGAATAAATTCTACGGCCTTCCTTACACGCCCAATACGGTACGAACACGCCGTCTTCCTGCCATTTAACACTCTACTTCTTTTGAGTAGCTTGTCTCTTTTATACTGTGCCTTTTAGATCCATTACAGTCTTCAAGGTTTGATCATTTAGGGAACTTCTGCTCATGGCTCTCCTTTCACTTCTCATTCAGATTACGTTATTGTCCGTTAAATGTACTTTAAATGGAAAGATGTACGGTGGCCGACCGGTGCAAACGCGCTACAGCGGCACAAAACCTTTCCATTTGCATGTGTTGTGGTACACTTGTGTTTTTATATTGAAGCTCCAGGGCATTTCTCCTAATTGAAGTGTTTTGCTCAGTTGTAGCACGTATACATATGCATCTGTCGGCCACTGTACATTTGTCTTTGGCACCAGCAACTAAAACAACACTCCCTATACACAGCACCACATACAGTTCACACACAATGCACTAAAAAAGAGACTTAATGGCAGTCGTAGTGCCAAGTGGATTTTTCTTCAACTGGTGTGTAGTCCATTCAAATATCACAACAGAGCATGAAACACAGTAGTATAAACAACAGATACATTAGTATACACTAAAAATAGGGGTTAGTTGCAGTATGTCCTAAGAAGCATCCTTGAGGCTTGGTGAGGGTTAGTTGAAAGGAGTCACATCACAGACTGAGGAGTCCTCTTCCCTTTCTCTCTGCTTTTATATCTCTTTCCCAGGCGCAGCAGCGGTTCAGGGATTAAAGCCCTTTTTTTTTGCAGCCCTGCTAAAATAACAAAGTATTCTTTGAATGAGTTCTCCCCGGGGGAAATATTTGAAACTCTTCCTCCCGGTGCTTTAATAAAAAATGAAAAGCTCTCTCCCCACTTTTGCAGCTGTGGGCGACGGGCTGAGGCCTGGAGGGAGAATCAGACGCACACGGTCACACTTTAGCCAGGAATGGCCTTCATAGAGCTTTTACTCTGGGCTATAATTATGTGGGAATGCCATCAGGAATAGAGATTAAAGAACTTCTGTATACCCTCCTTAAACCCAGTTTCTCCCACTCTTCTTCTTGTGTCCTGCTTTGTTGCTGCTTCTCTGGACATTTATGCCGTCTAGTTTCCCCCCACTGTCATTCCTCTTTAACTTCTCAAACCACACTGAAGCAGACTTCTCTCCTCAGCGTGCGCGGCAGGATCAGTTTCCTCATTTGAACTCCACAGAAACGTCAGATGATTGCGGTGTAATTGGGTCAGAGCAAGTGAAAACAGATTTGTTTAGATCCTCCAACGACCCAATCCACTTTAACTTTTTTTATATAAACTTGCGGCTCTGTGTCTCCCTCTCCTCTTCTTAGGCAACGTTTCCACCGCAAAGTGAACATTTGAGTGGCTAATAGGTTACGGAGAGCTGCAGATGATAAACATTGGGGTGATGCTGACATGTGTATAGTTTACAGAGCGGGGGCTATCGTTTCCCAGCAGAGAGAGGATCAGCTGTGAGTAACACAGACCACATGCTCGCCCTTGAGTCGAAGATAATATTTGGAAATAAATGGCAGAAAGCAAGATGTTCCTCTCGCCTTTGTTGACATTTCTTTAATCTGCGATTCTTGGCTCGTCTCATCGGGACCATCTCTCTCTCTTCTTTAATGAGCACATGTAATCCCCACTCTGTTGTACAAATGTGGAAATGCATATTAACACCACAGGGTTAGAATGGTCAGAAAATATGTAAAAAAATAAGTTAATTACTAGCCAACAGTTTATAAAGGAGTGCTTGTTACTGCACAATCAATCATTTTACAGTATAATTAGGAAGGGTGTTTAATGCAGGACTTTTGAATGAAAGGAACAAAAGGTGCCTTTAATCTCACTTAACCAGAGGAACAGAGTAAAAAGCATGTGCTGACTTTGTCTTTTTTTATGTATGTATCAAAAGACACCACCCTCTTCAAAAAGATGACATTAATCATTTGATGTGAGGCGGTTGGAAACAAAGAGGATGTTGGACGTATGTCAGAGCGTGACACAAAAAGCCAGAGGAAACGGACTCAAAACCTCTTCAAATGAAAGTCTGGTTCTCCCATTAGATGATAATATAAGAAAGAGTGGAAGATGTGAAACTAAAAGTTCCTTTGCTTGAATTCATTTAGTTTTTATGCATCAGAAAAACCGTTTTATCAGTTTAAATGAACTCCTCTAAACTTCATGACACTGTGTTACTGCTGCGTTAAGCTGACAAAACAAACTGGGTCTGTTTTAGCTGGCTCGAGTTCTCTCCTCTCAGGAGAGCTGTTTACTCTTATTAAAGTCACCGCAGCCCAGAGGAGACTCATCAAGTCGACACTCAGGAGCTTAAGCTTTTTGAGCGCTGTTGGAAAGAGGGGATGAGCTCTCAAACAGCTGTCAGAAACTTAGTACACTTTGACATCCAGCCACATCATTTTGAAGGTATTCATCCATAATGAGAGTGTATGTGAAATAGAGCTTTTATGTTGACAGGTGGCTTTTAGTGATGCTGTTTTCAGATGAGTTGCAGTATTTTCATTTAAAGTGGACCTATCATGCTATATTTGAAACATATATTGTAGGGCCATACCTATATAAAACATGTCTGTGAAGTTTTTTTCTCAAAATACCAAACAGATCATGCATTTTAGCCATGCCTCATTTCGCTCTATTTGCTCTTTTCCAGCCCTGTTTTTGCAAGGGCTGATTCTGTGACTACAGCGCCACCTACAGGCCTGGCATATGTACTACAGTGTCTCCAGCGCTTTCGAGCGGTCTCTCATTCCCCTGATAGGTGGAGAGTTGCCCATACTGTATAGGCGGAGCACCCCTTTTCTGACGTCAGAAACATTCAAATAATAATCAGCTCCGTTGCAGCCCCGTTTTTAGAGATTTGGGTATGGAGGAAAAGAGAGAGGGTTGTGTTTTCTGACACTTGGTGAGTTCCCTGACCGGGGACACATATTCATGTATAAAAGATGTACAAAAGTGCATTTTGCATGATAGGTCCCCTTTAATGTAGAAGGACTTAAAATGGCTTTATAACAGCTCAATGCAATACAATACATCATAGCTTTATCCATTTTAAACGGCTATAGAAACAGTTTTACTGCCTTTGAATGAACAGTTTTAATCACAATGACATGCACCAGAGTTTTCTTTCCCACAGGTAATGCGTACACAAAGACAGTACATACATCATTTTCATTTAAACAATTATTTCACTCGAGTATAAATCATCACAAGTTATTTCTGTTCTGTGAAGGTGGAGGGAGGCGTCTGCAGTCTGTTATGGTTTTGTTAACCGTGGCAGCTGCTGTCTTTTCAAACAGGCTGGATGTTTGAGCGTTCGCCAGCTGAATTCCCCCACAGTCTGCAGAGATCATAAAATAGCTGGGGGGGGGGGGGGGGGGGGTTGGGCGGCCTCAGGCTGAAGAGAGGAGAAGGGGGCTTTTCAACCATTTAGGAATTTCCATGTTTGGTCCTTTTTAAAGGAGGAGCTGGCAGGTTGTGATTAAATGTTGAGAAATTGAAGTCTATTTGTTTCACCGTTTAAATATCAAAGTTTTATGATTTATATTTCATTAATATCCACTTCAGTTTTAGTGCTGGAACTAAAACTGACAGTTCCCACATTTACGGCTTTTACATGCTGTAATGTCCTAGCACTGATTTATTATTAAAATATAACACATAGTTTAAATCTGCTATCATTTCTCCCTCGGTTTGCTCTTCCACTTCCTGTCGGCCGTAGAAACTGTTTATCCAGATTATCTTAAATGGGCCCTTTTGGGGGTTTCCCTTTCCTGTGGTGTTCTATAGTTTGTGTGCATGTAAATGGTCTGCAAAGGCTCAAATCCCTATGTTCCCTCAAAAGGGAATTTCTCTCCTACACCCACCTTTACTTCAGTAACATAGTGACATCATGTAACACTCGCGCTTCTATTGGTTAGTACTCCAACACATTGCACGTGAGGCGGTTGCAAGGGGCGGTGGTGGCGAAGTCGATAGGGACTTGGCTTGGGGACTGGAAGGTCACCAGTTCAAGTCCCGGCAAGACCAACTGCTACCGAGGTGTCCCTGAGCAAGGCACCGTTCCCCACACTGCTCCCCGGGCGCCGTTCAAAATGGCAGCCCACTGCTCCTAACACTAGGATGGGTCAAATGCAGAGAAACAATTTCCCCACGAGGGATTAATAAAAGCCCATCTTATCTTATCTTACCAATCACAACATAGCCGGCCAGCTAACCAATCAGAGCAGACTCTGGTTTCAGACAGAGGGTGAAAAGAGGTGCTGCAGCACAGGCAGTATGAGAACAGTAAGAGACATGTCCCAGTAGAGACACTAAACACTAATATGAACCTGAACCTCAGCTAAACATGTCCTCTTTAAGACATCCTGTATTTTTGCAAAGATGAAGGTGATAATGTTGTAGCTTTAATTTGATATATTATTCCCTCCATAGGCGTGGCAGCAGAGATTCAGCCACCTGATTGGCTACGGAGCCAAATACTACTCCTACCTCATGTCCCGCGCCGTGGCCTCCATGGTGTGGAAACAGTGCTTCGTCCAGGATCCTTTAAACAGGTGAGGCACGGTTAAAAAAGGAAGTGGGAGCACAAATGTTCAGCCTTACTTCATTCTCTTTGTGGTTACCTTACACATTGTGCTAATGCTAACAGTCACACAACAATGTATAAGCGCAATGTCAACCTGTTTTGCGTTTGGAGACTGGAGTCCGCCTCCCCTGCATTCTGTTTTAGCCGCTTGACATTGAACATGACGTTATTATGATACTCATGTCTGGTGTCTGCTTTGATTCACACACACTCACTACTCCCCTATCACAAGTGTTCGCCCCTGGACATGACACAAAAGCTTTTTGTTTGGAATAACGATGCCTCAACGGTCTCTCTATCAGGGGCCGCCCTGCAGCGTTTTCCCTCTGTCTCTCTTAGCTGTCTCCCTATCTTCCTTTCCCTCTGAGATTGTTTTAGTTTCACCTGTTGTTGTCAGATCTCTGTTTCCTGTCACCTGTCTGTGGTGAAAAGGCAGCTTATGGGACTTGGTTTGAAGTCGACTTATACAAATCTCCTTACCTCTTGTCCTTAACCTCAGTAATAAACAGTTAAGGAAAGAAGTGAAGTAACATTCATCAGGACTTAGGAAAAGAGACTGCGGTGACACTGGGAGACGTAATGATGGAGGATGTTACCGATCTGCTGTTTCCGTACAGAGGACTACAATAAGACATCTAGATACTTTGTTAAGCCTTCCTATCAGGTAGTTTTATGCAGGCGGAAGAGAGACAAATATATTCTTCATCACCATGGTTGGAATTGAAATTAAGAAAACGTAATGGTTGCTTCTGTATGATAGTATTAATCCACATGAAACCTGATGAGTGCAAATATCTCAAATAAATGAAGAAATACAACTTTATGCAATATATGGACAACTTGTGAGGCCTGAACATCAATTACTGCGCATATAACCATTAAAATATGTTGAACAAAGTTTAAGAAACCCTGCACTGCTCCGACTGAACACTGAAATGTTTTTGATTTGTATTTTTTCAGGGAGATGGGTGAGCGCTACCGTCGGGAGATGCTGGCTCATGGAGGAGCCAAGGAGCCGATGCAAATGGTGGAAGGTAACGAATCATTTCCAACACTTTTTCCCCCCCAATAGTTAGTTATCAACACTGTGTCTCATCTTATACATGTGTGACGATTAAATATTGCTTTGAATCCTCTATTCCTTTAAATTACCACTGTTAAATCCAGGATTCAAATCACCCCGAAAAGTTTGATGAAGCACTTTTTTTAAATTTGATTAATCTCTAAGTGGTTTGGGTTCCATCATTATTACATTACATTACATTACATTGCATTTAGCTGACGCTTTTATCCAAAGCGACTTACAATAAGTGCGTTCGACCAACAAAATACAAGCTTGAAGAAAACAGAATCATATAAGTACATCAGGTTTCATAGAGCAAAAACATTTCAACTGCTACTCAACTGGCTTTAGGTAAGCCAGTCCTTTATTAGTATATAAGTGCTTTGTTAATAGTTCTTTCGCTCGAAGTGGAGTCGAAAGAGATGAGTCAGATTTAGTAATTGTTCTTCTAATAGTTTTGGGGGGCTCTCATGTGACCTTTTGTCCCCACTGCCTTGCTGCAAGTCTTCTACATGTGGCTGTTTGGTGCTATAGCAGTTTTAGGATTACCAAGAGTTCCACTGCAGGTTTTGTGTCAGGTCAGGTATTAAGGTGTCAGTCTGTGAGCACCAGTAAAATGGGCTTAGTGTAATTACTGTAACGTGATGCTGGTGGATTTGTTTTGATAGCCTGGAGGCTCGTCTGCTCTTCAATTCATTGTCTTTCAGCAGCCTCCTCTCATGAGAGGCTGGAAACGTCCTCAGAAACATACTGGTTGCATTTTGTGGAAGAGAGTTAGAAAGTTAGATGAAGAAAGAAACCACATTTTAGATTTTAGTGTACTAGTTTTTGATTTGTATCCCTACGGTGGCCAACAGGTGTAAACAGCTCTTAAAATATCCATTAGGAGGAACGTGCTGCAGCTTCACAAACGATACAAATGTAAAAACACAAAGGTGCCTTAGCGCATGCAAATGAAGAAACAACTTCACCAACGTGATGAAACATACACAGCATTTACTAAAAGTGCTGCAGAAGCAAAACGCTGCAAAAAGCTTAAAACACGGGGGGCTTGTTGACGTTCAGGAAATATAAAGTTGGCCAACTGTCACTGTTGGAGTTAGTCTGTTTCATTATTCTAAGTGTGGGGCAAAACAAGCTTGCCTCTTTTTCCCGAGGCGTCCGCATGGCGCTGTGTTCTCACTGGAGTCAATTGAACTCGGACCCTTGATGAGACTATAGGATAGATTTCCATTATTAAAAGATCTCCTCACAGTCTTCTACCCTCACTGCTGTAGGTTGTTCTCACCTGAGGGGAGGTTTAGTTTGTCATCAGACAGAAGCAGCTGTGAGTCCATTAGTCAGCTTGTAGTTTTTTCAGGTGCTGATGTGGTTTGGCTCACTCTGTAGCAAATATTTACACATTCACACACCTCCCACAGTGTCCTCCTATCTTTGTTTACAAGAGCAAACCAGAGACTCTGCCAGTCCTGCTCTGAAGTCAGTTATTTGATATGTTGAAAAAAACTCTTACCTCAACTACTTCTTTTAAGCAAAATCCAGAAGGCAGACAGACGGATGATTATGGGTTTGAGCCCTAAAAACTGCTGAGTCTGCAAGGGTGCTTTCCCCTTTGCGTTTAACCAACATTTTTCAGCCAGGCTAGAACAACTTTGATCCAAAATATCTCTACATGTACTGAATGGATTTTCATGAAAAGTAATATTCCCCTCTCAGGAATAGTTTTGTAAAATGTGATTATCTTAATCAAATACCGGCAAAACTAATGACATTCCAATCAGCCTCATAGAGTGGTGCAGTTATGAGTCCTACAACCCTGAAATGAGTTAGCATTTTACCACTTTTTGTTCTACGACATAAAACATGTGGGTAAATACTCCACTGGTGGATTTAAAGATGGCTGTTGTTAACAAGTGTCTAAACGCCCAACATTAGCCACCTTTAGCTTAGTCTTTTCCACTACAGAAATACGTCATCCCAGCACCACTCTATTGCGATCGCATAATTATAAATGATAGATATAGATAGATAGAACTTTATTAATCAAAATTCATTTTCCACTCTGTCGTACACACATGCGTTTTTATACAGGTAATAAGTACACACTTTTTACAACATGCACATACATATACAAATACACACAGTTATATGCACACATGTACATGCAGTTGAGAGGTCAGAGCGGAGGTAGCCAGTCTAGCCGGCGCCAGTGAGCAGTTAGGGGTTAGGTGCCTTGCTCAAGGGCACTTCGGCAGTGGCCCAGGAGGTGAACTAGCTCCTCTCCAGTACCAGTCCACACTCCGTATTGTTTGGTCCGATCGGGACGTGAACCGGCGACCCTTCGGTCCAAAGTCCAACCCCCTACAGACTGAACCACTGCCGCCCCATAGATACTTTATTGATCCCAATTTGGGAAATGTTTGCGTTGCAGCTGCATAAAAAACAAACAAGGCAATGTACATAAGAGAAATTAAGACACAGAAATAAACAGTCCAACATTTTTCAGAAATATAAATAAAATAGCATAAAGGTGATACAAATGATGTTGAATTATTTAATATTGCAAACAAAGGCTAATACCAAAATATAAAACCACCAGATTCAGGGAGAGTTTCATCCCACAGGCCATAAGGATATTAAACACATTAACTTTTTAAAGAACGTCCATAAACATTCATCTGTATGCATTTTGCTAATGATTTATCTAATATATCATATTCCTTTTACTTGTATATAGACTCTTTTGCACTATTTCTATTTTATTTGTATTTACTTGCACATCTCCAAACATTCTCTTGCACTTATCTGTTTTGTTTGTTCTATGTCCTATATATTCATGTTGCACTGTTGGAGGAGCCTGTGACCTACGTGTTTCATTGCCATGTCTACTCTGTAGCTAATGTGCAAATGGCAATAAAGCCTTGAGCCTCAACGAGGATGTGGACTATATTCTGGCAGCTTTTAACAATTAAAATGGAGTTAATCATTTTGTCATTTTAGCAGAAGCTGTAATTTATCTATATGTCACGACAGCAAAAATAAACGACTTCCTCCCGTTGCCCTCTGCCCTTCATCGTCACCTCCTCGAGCCAGCGTGTCTGCACAGGACAACAGAGGAGGAGGTGAGAGGAGAGGGAGGATCAGGTGACGTACAGTCAATCTCTCCCTCAGGGTCACCTCCACCCCCTGCATGGGATTGTGTCTGTGACAGATCCAGCTTCTGAAATTACAACCAGCAGCAGATAGGATCCTTGTTATAGATCTACTGTCCAATTAACTGTTGTTGAACTGACAATATTTGCTTTTATAGGCCCGCTTTGAAGTGAGTGCTCCTCTAATTATAGGCCAAGCCCTGAATAGTTATCAGGGTCATATTGATCCCTCTGGCTCTCTTTCTGAACCATAAGTCATTTTACAGGGCTGTTAAAATGTCTGCTTTGGGAATAATACTTTTCATTTTGTGACAGAAAACATGGATCAAATAAAAAAAAAAAAGCCTTGAAATGGAAAATATGTTCCAGTCTGAATAATTGGCAGTTTCCCGTAATTTCTGATAATGATCTTAACAAATTCCTCTCTTTTTATCATAATAAAATCTATTCCATGTCTGGAGAAATGTTCAAACTAAGATAAAAACGTATCTATCTTTTATCCAGCCGACTTGTTGGCTACACGTGTCCTCATAATTCACCCTAACATCATGAAAGTTATTAAAGTACATCAGGGCATGTGTTGAAACATTTAGCGTTTATTCGCTCCGGGGTTGAGCGGTTCATAGAAACCATCTTGAATTCCTATCGAGGAATGGAAAAGGATTTGGAATAATAAGAAGGGCTCTTTTATATCTGAGGCAGTATTAGGGCCAGGAAGGACACGGTATCCAACCTAGTACACATAACTCTCTCAAACAAAGACCCTTGTAAATGGAGGTGTGTAACATTTCCCCTTGGTGAGGTGGTCGAGGGGGCAAGAGGTCACATGGGGAACCGGAGCAGACCCCGGCGAGGCTAACCAGAGGACGGTCTTTATCTGCGGGGCGGCTGCAGGTTTCCCAGGAAGCATGGTGTTGAAATGTAAACCCAGAGCAGCAGCAGGAGTGGCTGAGCAAGAAAAAGTGAGAATGAGGGGAAAGGGAAGGAGAGAGTGAAAGGGAAACCACAGAGAGGGCTTTCATGGCCCAGACGGTTCACATAGCCCCGACGGCCGAGCACAGAAAATGGATCTACTACGGCTCGGTGGCCCGGCTCTTTGTCCGGGGGCAGCGTGGCTGAATGGTCCTTATGACCGCTCGCTAACCACTAATAAACCCCCAGTCAGAGCACGGTGGTCTGCACAGTCCCACAGCACTTTGTGACAGTGATGTACCGTCTGAACCGGAGGGGAGGAACCTCACAGAGAACATGTGGAGCTGCACAAATACATGATTTATAGCCTTTACTTAAAAACCAGACATGATTTGTGATGAAAATGATCGTTCAGTTCTCCATACAGCATGTTCAGAGCATGGATGCATAAAGAGAACTGGAAACAGCGGTGGAGGTCCTGGTCATTCCTATGAGAGTTTCTCAGTGGCGCATGAAGCCCAAAATGACCTGACTCAAGTACTAAAGTATACGTAACTGAGCCTATAGAGCATGCACTCTAGCATTAAGCTTAAGCCCCGCCTCTTACCATTAACCACGGCCATTAAAATGCCCCGCCTCCAATCGCAGCGTCACAGGCATGGATGTATAATAAGAACTGGATACAGCGTGGGAGGCGGGGCCTCGTTCATTCCTATGAGAGTTGCTCATTGGCGTATTAAGACAAAATTGCCCAACTTTTGAGAGAGCGAAACGTCACGAAAGTATTCATATAATCTGTTCTTATTGAGCATCCATGGGTAAAGGTAAAACTCATGTAGTACTGAACACGTAACATGAACGTGCCGGGCGGCGCGGTCCCGTGGGTTAGATCCGCGTTCATAATGCC